CAGGGGCGGTGAGAGGCTTCACTGGAGACAGAGTGGGGAGCAGAACAGGCAGATCAACGAAGCACACTGCTGAGGGGACCAGTGGGCGGGTCAGGAGGGGTCTGCCACACCATGTGGTCACCTCCGGGGCAGGAGGGGCTCGAACTCATGCGGAATTGGCTTTTAGATTCTCAGTGCTGTGCTTTAACCCGCTGTGCCACCAGGGAGAGCCATCATTTATATTTTTTAAAGATTTATTTATTTATGCACACAAGAACTGGGGCACAGACCAGAGGTTGGAGGTGGAGGGGAGCGCAATGAGAGGATTCACCAGAGACAGAGTGGGGAACAGAACAGGCAGATCTACTGAAATAAGTTGCTGAGGGAAGCAGCAGACAAGACAGGAGAGGTCTGCTGCACCATGTGGGTGACGTCACCTCCCTGGCTGGGGATCAAACTCGTGCTGCAGTGGCTGTGAATAGCTTCACAGTGCTATGCTTTAACCTGTTGCACCACCAAGCCTCCTAGCATGGCATTTAGATACTTCACAGTACTCATTTTTCTGGTTTCGTCCTCAGTCTCTTTCTACCTTTTTAGCTAAAGCAGATGACTTTCTGTACCTTGAATCTGTGCTGAGAATTCATTCTTCCCTGTCTCTGTAGATGCTAACCTCTGTTTCTTAGTTATATATTCATATATTTATGAATTCATATATTCCCATATATGCATTTATGTTAATATATAAACACATACGTATATATGTCTATACATTCTTATGTAAACAAAACTGATTTTTGACATTGGGCATGTTTATTTTTATCAACAGAACCTGAATAAGCTTTTGTTGAAAAAATGAATAATGCTTATTCTAAAAAGAGTGACTTTGTTCAATTTCTACAGATGATAAAACATCAAAATTTATATACCAGTCTTTAGGTATACTGGAATGAGTTGTTTATAACTCAGATAATTTTCTGAAACTTGTCTCTAGTTATTTTTTCTTATGAGGGCAATTATTATTATTTTTCTGAGAAATTGTAGGTATTTCTCTGCCTGGATTTGTGCTGCTAGATGAAAATTTTCTGCTGGATCAAAATAAATTTCAACAGTGAAATGATGCATATTTGTTAGCCTAAAGTAATGTAATGTTAATGCACAGAACCCAAGAAGGTTAAATGACAAGGATAAGGTTCAGTTTTTATCATGACTTTCACTTACCTATTTTATGATTTCCTTTTGCAAGAACTTAAACTTTTAGGTACACCATTAATCATCACAGCATAACTAAAATGACTAAAGACATTGATCGTATAATATTTATATTTTAAGAATGAACTTTTAAGTCGTTAATCAGAAGCATGAATTGCATTGCACTAAAAAGTATATTTCATGAAATTCAAAATTTGAGTGAAATTGCTAGAACAACAAATTGGCAAGTTGTTAATTTTTTGCTAAAGAGGGTCAAAATGACATTCGAATCTTTTTAGAATGGAAAGACTGAATGTAATTCATCGGCGTACTTAAACACAGGCAAGTCACAAAATTGTTGTGATTGCAGCTCTTGAAAGAAATTTTCTTAGTGTAAGAACAGTTAAACTATTCTTAATTAAACCTATTCAAACAGAAAGGATATCTGCCTTAAAAATTTCATGGGGGTTAATTTTCCATTAACCCTAGCACTTTCATTTTAATACCCAAATTAAATCTATGGTAAATTAATCTAGTTGGAGATAAGAATTTACTTAAATGGCCAGGATTCCCCATGGCAAATGAAATTTCTTAATCATTAATTTAGACTAATACTGTCCATTATAAGACATATATGTATTTATCATTTTCTGGAATATGCATTTAAAAAGTAAACAAGAGGGCCTTCACCTTCAAGTGCAGCACTACAAAGCTAGCTGCAGTCACTTCAGCATGAGTTCAATCCCTGGGCAGTGGGGTGACCCACGTGGCACAGCAGACCTCTCCTGTCTTGCTTGCTGCTCCCCTCAGCAGTGTGTTTCAGTGGATCCACCTGTTCTGCTCCTCACTCTGTTTTTGCTGAATCTATAACATGGTGGTCCCCAGGAAAAAGGGAGCTTCCAGGTTTCCTGCCCCACCCAAAGAGGGTGGAGCTGAGTATGGAGAAGAATCTGGAGAAGAGACTGAAAAGGAAGGAAGCCCAATGGAGAGCCAGAAGGAGACCTGAGGGGGGCACACAGAGCAGAGACACGTGAAGAAGCCTTTTGTTGTTTCTTGGTCCGTGACTGGTTGGAACAGATGTGGGTGAGAGACCTGTGGGGAGGTTAACTATGGCAGTGTTTATCTTGATTTTGATTTTGCTCTTTTCCTCCCAGACTCGTAAGGCTACTTCTGACTCTTTTTCTATGGGTTCCTGCCAGAAGGTGATTTAGTCTAGTGGAGGGCTTTCAGGACTTGCTTTGGGCCAATCCCTTTTGGATAGACTTTAACACATGAGTGGATCAGTAACCTTGGGTACTGGATTTAGAAACTATATTCTTTGTCTTTTTTATATTGTACACTCATTGTATTAAAGTTCCTTTCCATTATATGTCTTATATGTTTTATCTTGATGCGGTGGATGGCAGAACCTATTCAGAGCAGGCAGGTTTGAGGATTCAGGAATGCCTCCTCCCTGTCCTGTAACAAATCCTCTCACTGCCCCTGCCTCTGCCTATATATACCCCAGTTCTGTATGCATAAATAAATCTTTAAAAAACAAAGAGCTAATTTACTAAGCTATGTGTATTTAGATATATTCACAATATCATCAACTCCAAGATGTAATTGTTATAGCGCAACCCAAATGTGAAATGGGTTGGCCTGATTGTGGGTCCTCACCCATGGTCTTAAAAGGGGCTTACAATGCGACTCAACCACAGGCGTACACAAAGAGGGTAAAAAAGTGTTTATTTACAAAAAAGGGGAAATGAAATGAAAAGTTCTGGAAGAAATAGACATAAATTGGTGAATGAGTCCTACCAGTTCTACTGATCTGGAACTCCAATAGCACGGTGAAAGGTAGGAAAAAACCAAGACCCACCCCAAGGCCCACATGTCTGGTTATATACCAAACCTAGCTGTTGCTCTACTCTCACTTCCCTGCAATCCTCCTTTCATGGTAGTGACATGGAATTTGTAGTGCTTGGTGTCTTTGTTCTGGGGGTGGGGTGGGGTGGTGGTGACCATAAAACCTATTTGTGGAGTTTACTCAGGACATCATTTCTCCCCAACATAATCAATATAAAACTTGAGATTTTTTTTATTACTCAAAATCTAGTGTGCATTTTAGATAAACAACATATCTTATTTTAGAAAAGTTACATTCAAGTGTTTCATAGACAAAATTAGCCAGTGTCTAAGATATTGGACAGTGCAGTGCTAGATTGTGAGCAGCGTGAAAGTTGATTTTCCTCTTCCCTCTAGGGCCTTCCCATTGATACGCAGTGGATATTTTTGGAAGCTGTTATCAGAAAGACAAAAGACTCTAAACTTCCCAAATATTTGTATGTTTTGCAGCCATGTACTTTTAAATTCCTGTTTTTGAAAAAGTGTAATTGGGGTCTTGCTCATCCTGACATAGTAAAGAAGTGAGTATAGGGCTTCCTGACTCCCATGAGTCTGAATCATCTGAAATGTTGACTCATGCACCTAAGGTGACTGAAATGTAAAGTCAATCAAATTTGCCTTCCAAGGCATCCCTCTGATTCCACTCTCCCCTCCCTCTCTGGGTGACTCATCCTCTTCTGGAGTGAGAGCCTAGTGGCAAGCAGATCCCAAAACCCTCCTGGGAAGGGGGTGAACAGACTTTCAAACGCTCTGCCCCACCCCCTAGATCGACCAGCTCAGCTGATTCGCCTGCAACATCCAGGCTCCGCAGTTTAGACTGGGAGAGATCTTAAAACTGTCCAAAATGTTTTTTTCTTTCAAGGTGGTGATGACTGGCGATAGGGAGGTTCGGGGGCTTAAGCTGGAATAAACGTAGTCTTTTTACAAATTCTTAAAATTTAATGTGTCCTTAAATCCTACAAGACAGTCCCGTTACTCAGTACCTTTCTCCACTCAGGGTTTTTTCCTTTCCTGGGAGGAAAGTTACCACCCAAAGTCCCCCGGGATAACGCCCTTCCGGTGGCGCGCCAGGAACCGCTCCCACCTCCCAGCACAGGCCGCCAGCCCGCGGGTTTTCGCCGCCTTCCGCAGACTGACCCCGCACTGCCCGCCAAGCCAAGCCCCCAGCCGCACCCGCTCCCACCTGGGGCGGAGGGTGGGGCTCCCAAATCAAGCCCCGCCCGCGGAGCCCGGCCAGCCGGTGAGGGAGCTAGTGCACAAGGTCCAGCCTACCGCTAGCTCTCTTTTCCCGTTGGGCTGGCCGGCTGCCCGTCACCGGAGTCCCGTCGCCGATTGGCTCGCTCCTCCCGCGCCAGTCTCGGCCTCTCCTCGCCCGGAGGGTGTCACGCCAACTGGGCGGGGAGTGTGCCGGCCTCTCTCCTCTCGCTTGGGCGGCGGCGGTACGAGAACTGGCGGGTGGCGCATCGCGGGCGCGGAGGCAGGAGCAGCCTCATTGTTCCGGGCGTCGTCGCCACTGCAGGTCCTCGCTCGCTCGGCTCTGCCCCCCGCGACTCCCCAGCCCCCACGACCCTCGCGGCCCGGAGGAGAAGCGTCCCCGGCGGCAGCCGCGCCGCAGCATCCTCTCCCGTCCGCAGCCATGGAAGACGCGTACCAATCGCCCCTAGTGTCCTCGTCCGCGGACAGCCCGCCCAGGCCCGAGCCCCCGTTCAAGTACCAGTTCGTGAAGGAGCCTGAGGAGGAGGAGGACGAGGACGAAGACGAGGACGACGAGGACGAAGACGAGGACCTGGAGGAGCTGGAAGTGCTGGAGAGGAAGCCCGCCGTCGGGCTGTCGGCCGCCGCGGTGCCAGCCGCCCCCGCCACCGGCGCGCCCC